TGTCCTCTCTTTCATAAAACAGAATGTAGGGTGTCTCCATAGGCTCCAATAAATTCAAGACATCGCCAGAACACTTAGTGGTATATATTTTATGGAGCTTGTAACATTCTGATTGACGCTTCAAAGAGGCTTGAATTTAAAATATTTGAATACATCTATAGTATTGTTAATATGCAATGTAATCTTCAATATAGATATATGTAAACTATAAAGTCGAAAATTTCAATTTCTTGTCTAATTCTGCAAAGTATGGCAGTAATAATTCGATTTTTTTGTTTGTAACGTATTCAAAAAACACTCTACTGTGAGATTTACACTATACAACTTTAAAAAAAACGCAACATGTGTTTCGCCATACAATAGCTCCATCAGGCATGTAAAGGCACGACCGAACACTGAAAACAAATGCATTTTCTAATAATTTCGCAATCCAGTATGGAATAAATGTAAGATTAGCGAAAATAATATAAAAACACGCAATTGTTCATTATTCATGATTTTTTTTTCATTTGGACGTTTAAAAACGTAGTTTCTATATGTTCGTGATGAAGTTTTGCTTTCAGCAGGAATGTAGAAAAAGTATATTTTTCATTGTTTCATAAAATAGTTTACAAACATTTGTCGCCACTCTGTATACCATCAATTTTTTTTTAATGAAACCGTCGACTCACCCGGATTGTTCATCTCGCAAGTGCTGGTATAAAAGTCGACCATGAATTAAAATTGTTGAAGCTGGTCCTTAGGATGGTAAACACGGAACACGTGTGCGTCGCGACGCGGTTAGCAAGACGCTCGATCCGTCACCGACGCTCGCCGGCCATCAACTGGTGGATTCGCAGGACTCGCGGCTGGCGGTAAGAGTGAATCGCGTCTCTTCGCAGGAAGAGAAGATAGAGCTGTATTGGACGTCCTGCTTGAATCACTGTTTGTTAAATTGTTAGCGCAAGTGTAGAATAACTCAATTAGTACTTTGTTGTGAGATTTTCACTGGACAGTTTACAAAACCGTAACACGTGTTTCACTTTAGCAACAGCTAAACAGCGTTTTTTCAGTCTTTTGAAACGCTTAGAGAATAATAAATTATAGAATTTTGAAAATTCACTAAATGACCAAATAGAATAGAACCCTTTCTAATGTGTAAACTGGTAATCAGTTAATTACGTGTCTATTCAATGAGTTTGTCAAAATTTTCATTTAAGATGTTTATATTTTTGATTACATTTTTATATTTCATAATTTTACCAACAAACAGTATATTTTATTTTATTTTTTTAATTTTTATTTATCGGTCAAGTACACTACAGAATTGTTATAAAATCCCAAACGGTACATTAAGAAAGTTTCAATTGTAGAAACCAGTCAAGCATTAGAGTTCAGTTATGAACCCAACAAGTAAGATCC